TCCTGATTCATAATAAAGATTATTGCACCACCTCTCCAAGGAATACCATTTTACATAGGACAGCTGGGCTCTCAGTCCTTCATGGGATGGCCTTGTACAAAAGGATTTATTTCTTCTCATGTCAGTTGTTTTGGGGAAAAACATAATACCTCAACACACCTGAGAACATGTATGTATTAGCTTTTACTGAAACACATCACTACTACAACCAGGCCCACACCTTACTAATCACCATCACTATTCTTGGAACTGATCATTCCATTGAACAGTCATAGTTGTATTTGAAAAACTGTCTCCCCTGAGAATTAACTCTATGCATTTCCAAAATGACCAAATTTGGCAAATCTCAAAAAAAAAAAAATCTAGCTCTATCTCTTTAAAATGACACTCCAGAGAATTTTGTTTTTCTTTTCCTTCTGGTTTTTTCCATTTGCATCTCTTCCCTTAGCTAGCCCCTTGCTGAAAATGTTTAGAACACTATCTGGACTCCTCCATATGTTTCTTGTAATCATTGCAAAAAAAAGGATTACAGCAAAGCTACTAAGGAAGAAGAAAACCACTTCTGTGTAGAGAGCTGGGGCTTTCCCTCACAGCAACAGCAACCAGACAATATCAGGTAGTGCCTCCACATTCTGGGAAAACACAAGAGAAGGGAGAAGGGCAGAGCAATGAGTGGGAACATTTAAAAGAATTTGTCAAAGGCCATTCTTGAAGATAGAATTAACGTTTTATTGTCATCCTCAGCCCAATTTTCAGGCACATAGAAGAGCTTGAAGCAGATGGCTTCTGCTCAAAGGCCATACAGAATCAACACTATAGTTAAATTACAACAGAACTGTAGCTGCTTCCAAGTTATGCTCAGCTCAGAGTGGCACAAGTGTAAACCAACATGCACCATGGGAGACTAAAATGTTAACATGCTCTTTCAGTCCCCAAAATACCAAGCGACAGTTCTATTGGGTTCATTGGATGACAATAGCATATTATCTAATGTCACAGAGATGTCAACAAGATTGAAAGGGGGCTTCATTTAGCATAATGACTAGAGACAACAAAGGTATCTACTAATAAATGCATACCTTTATATGAGCTAAAGGCAGTCATAATCATTCTTATGAAAACATCTTGGGGCATTGGACAATGATCCAGTAGTTAAGGGCACGGAATACTCTCCAAGATGACCTAGGTTCTATTCACAGCATCCACATCCACACGGCTGCTCACACACATCTGTAGTTTAATTGCAGGGCATCTGAAACCCACTTCTGACCCCTGTTGGCAACACCAGGTGTGCAAAGTGATGCACATACACAAATGTAGGCAAAACAACCATACAGGTAAAATAATAAAATGAGTTTAGAAAAAGAAAATGTATTTTCTCTTTAAATATTCAGCTCATTCAGGAAGAGTGTTTCTCCTCTGTTTTCAGTTATATGTGCAATTCCCTTTTCTTCTGCATTTGAGGTGCATGGCATCCCAGAGGCTGGCTTGTCCATGCAAATATTAACCAATACAACCACTATGTTATAACACATGGAAGCCCCTTAAGGTGCTGCTTGAAGAATGGAATCTGATCCTGATCCTCAAATTAAAAAAAAAAAGTACTTTCATTGGAGCCTACTATCTTTTATTGTTCATCTTTCCCACAAGACCAAATTTCTCAAAAATAAGCCAATGGCTTTATGTATATTTTTCATATTTAAAAATAGAAGAAGGAATCGAGCTGTTGGGAGTTATTTCCAATTAATATTACCAATAAGGGACCGTAATTCTGAAGAAGGAAGCCATGCAAACAAATTCTAAAATACAGGCCAAAATCTAATTGATGCACATATTACTACATTAACAATTTTATCAGTATCATATTAATATAATTTCTGTCTAATATTTAGATCTAAACCTGTATTATACCTTTTCACTTAGGATGACAGAAAGCCAGTAAAAATAATTAAGAAGAATGCCTTCAACAACAACATCATATATATTCCTGTATCTGGAGGTTTGACCTGTGAGAACTGACATAACATTGGCACTTAAAATCTGCACATTTCTAAATTACCCTTTGACTTAAAGATACTGATACATTGGATTTTTGTCTGTTTTTGTTTGTTTTACATTTGCAGTTCTGTTATGCTAACGCTTAACATTTCAGATAATTTGCCTGAGTGCTCTTTACAACCCACAAAACAACAAAAATCCAGACATAACAGAAACTCTTCCCATACTGTCAAATCCATGGCCTTCATACACATTCACAAAGAAAGCCTTTTAATGATTTTCCCAAGTGCAGGTGTGCAAATTACTCCTGAAATAGAGGAGTCTAGTTTTCAGCACCCCTGAACCAGTGTTAACCACACCCTGAAGCATTTTTCAGCTCATAAACCCTTTATAGCCTGCGAAGTTCTTCCAGATTTTTAAATTGTTAACTACAGTTGCCCTCCAGCAGCAGGGTCTACAATGCCGTTAACATCCATCTGAGGGTATGATGTAAGCATGCACTGAGTAGTGTGTTTTGTTTCATAGTATTTTATAAAAGTCAAGCTTTATATCACCCTCTGAGTGCAGAAAAAGTTATAAATGCCTTAGTTCGGTGTAGCTTGGGTGGCATTTTTACTTACTTGGATACACAGTATACGTGAAGGTCAACTTCACTCTGTTGAGTAGGTTTATACAATGGCATATATGCACTGAGGGTTTTCCAGTCTGGAAACATAAAAATGTTGCCTTTCCGGGCTTCCCTCATTAACAAACCTACCTTAGAATTTAACTGAACATCTGGGTGAGGGTTTTAATGAGCAACGTTCAATATGGGGAAAATTACATTATTGTTAGAAAACTAGCAAAATTTGTTAACTGAGCAGTTGAGTCTAAGTAAAACTCACTGCCTTCTGAAAATAAAATCCATGCTGTTATTCTTAAGAAAGAAAGCCTAGAACACATGAAACCAAACAATAGGCTGCCCCAATGTTCCACGCCCCCTGCCGACATGCACATACTGTAATTCTCCTGCCTGATTTGGAAATAGCCAGATAGTTCACAGTTTACTCAGAATGTGCCATCGGCATAGCCCGAGGTTTTGGAAGTGGAGGAAAGAAAACATCATGCGGGTCCAGCTGAATGGAGACCACCAGGCCCTTATAAAGGCACACCTCTTCATAAACTGTTACATTGTTAGACTAGGAAGCCCCTTTACTTGAACTGCCATTTATAAAGTGACTGCCACCTTTTGGAGGTGGGAGTGGGGAGCAGGTTCAAGTTTCAGTCGTTTTTCCATTTTGTAGTTTGAATGCCCTAACCTGAACATACAATTTCCCAGTCAGAAGAATGTGTGAGGTTCTGTATATTTCTGATTTTGTATTGTTTGATACAATTTCATACTGTCATGCTATTTGATACAACTTAGTATGTCGTGACCAACAGAGCAAGATAAATTGAGTTGGTATGTACTTTTTACTTTCTGAAATCAAAGGTTGATGCCAAATTTCTTCCGCCTTTATTTTCCCCAGACCCTGTAACTACAGTTTTCTGTTCCTTTTAATTCTACTAACAGTAATCCTAACTCCTACTTCTTGGTAACTCTTCCCTTCTCAACTCCAGTTTTGAGAGATGTAGAAGTAATGTAGAAGACAGAAAATCATTTATGGTTCACAAAATATCATACCAGAAAAAAAAAGAAAAAAGCATGTTTCCATTCCTAACCTCTAACAAGCTATGCTGGGAAGAGAGGAGTTCAGTAATGTAGGACTGTGTAAACTATTATTTGTCCCATGCAAATGTTTTCACACCAAGACAATTCTAAAGAAGAGCAAATAGAAGCCATGAAGTTTCTGTCTACAGCACTGGACACTAACTAAATCAATGGTACAGATACCAGTTCATTTTCACCAGGTGTATTTCTGATCACTCTAATGAAAATGCCATCTTTCTTCTGAGTGACACCCAACAGAGCATATCCCAATAACAAGAAAGGAGCCAATAACCAGGCATCCTTCCCAGACGGCTTCTCTGAGCCAGGCCACAGAAAAGTGAACATGTATTCATCTAACTCTTATATTTAGTTTTGAACCAAACAATTTAGAAAACCAGTAGACTTAACCTCTAAATATAAAGGACACAAGAAAACATGAAATATCCATCAATCAGTATGTGCTATGTAGTCTCAACTCAGATTTTCAAATTTAACCTGATGGTATACTCTCACTTCTAGGTAAGAACAAGACATATTTGATCATGACAACTGCAATCAGCCAATGCAAATACACATCTTTTAGAGGAGACAATGAAATCACAGTAAAAACACCATGGCCTGTGTTTTAGGAAGTAAAGGCAATGTTTATAAATCCACCTTCTAACATTATACTTAGTAATAACTCCAAGCAGTTCTTGGAACTTAGCTATATTGTGTTTGTTCTAAAAATATATATTCTAAACATATATATTAAATATATATATATAAATATATATATTAAAAAAGAGTCAACATCTTTAAAAACTGTTAAATTTGAATTAAAATAGACCTATTACCCATTCCACAACTTATGTGATAAATGTGCAAAGTCCTGGAAAAGAAAAAAAAATCTTTAGAGATCTTTTGGTCAACCCTAGGGATATGAAAAATCATTTAGCTGTCTACATTGTGAGTGCTAGAGGTTAATGGTTGCAGACCAATGGAATGTTAACACAGTCTAGTGCTACACTTGAGTAGTAATGTATGGAAAGACATTGAAATTAAAACACTTTGTTCTGCATGTTCTGAAGTGACGCAACAGTGATGAAGTGGTTGTATTAGATGACAAAGCAGGGCTTCTTATGACTTTTAAAGTAAAACTGTACCTAACATTCTTGCAAACAGTTTAACAGATCCTTCCAGTTCTTGTACAGATGCACGAAGCTAACACATTTTTGACACTCCAGTTTTATCATCTAATGGCAGCATTTGGTACGATGGTTATTTCAACTTTCAAGATAAAATGCTGATTGCCTTGAGAGCAAAGACTTACCTGTCTTGTTTTCTCTGACCTCAATAATATAAACATTTATGTCATGGCGGGATTTTGTCCCTGCTTGGGGTGCTGAAGTAGACAATGGCTGAGGTTTGGAGGTCGTTTTTCTTTCCACAGTGGATGGTCTTGTTGGCTGTGTTACAGGAGGCCTTGAAGTCATGTGATACTCTTGATCAACATCCGTTTCCGTTTCCTTAGCTATGATATCAGTGAAAGCTGTGGGAGGGTGCTGTGTTACAGACTCTTTATGAAGCATAATGTCCCCTGTCGTTTTCTCACGGGGCTCCTCCTCAATGACAGGTGGTTCTTTGGTGAAGGGCGAAGAGGGCTTGAATGGTGGAGTTCTGTGAAGGCTGTCTATGAATGTGAAGGCACTGACGTCACTTGGAACAACTGGAAATTCTGGGAGTTTCGTGGCTCTGGGTTTTTCAAATAATCCCGAGCCTAAATCTATATAGTCTAGGGATGGTTTCTTTTGTTCCTCAGTAGTTTCTTCCATAAGCTGTGTGACTTGAGTCCTGAAGGGCCTCAAAGTTGATGCAAATTCTGTTAGACTACTACCTTCTCCTTCAGATGTTAATTCTGCCTCTGTACTTAAAACTGCCTTTGGCTTAACGGTTGATGTTAGTGTTACCATTGTCCCCATTTCCACTTTGTGCTGTGTTACTGTACCAGGTGGATAAGATGTACCATGGGCAGTTGTTTCAACTGGAGTTGTTTCTAAAGCTGGAACTCTCTCAAAACCTGGCACCCATCTGTCTTCAGAGATCATATATGTTGATCCCTCCCCCTCTTCTCTGAATGCTGTTGTCTCATTGGTCATTAATTCAGTAGAACTGAGAACAGAAAATGAGCTCCCTGTGGTTTGTGGTTCTTCCTGGATTTCTCCCTGTGTGAGTCCTGTTGTTCTCAAAGCTTCAGGAGATGTGGTTGCTTCTAGGTGAGTCTGTTTAATGAGATCTTGATCAGATTTGCCTAGAACCTCATATTCCAGTGGAACAGAAGATTCCAACACACTCCATTCTGTCTTGGGAATTACAGAAAGAGGACTAGTGTGGGATATGTCTTCATAAGTAGTGGGCTCCTGGGTGCTACTATAATTAACAAATGCCAATCCTTCCACATCAGAGGTGTGTGCAAATGGGGGGACAGTAAACAGTGGTTTGGAGGCATCTATATCTTCGCCCAAAGCACTTCCTTCCACAACTGCATTAGTGTCTTGGTCTTCTGTGCTTGCGGTGGGCAGAACTCTGTCTTCAGTTACAAACTCTCTCAAAGTTGACTTTTCTGAACTGCCAACTGACATAGCTGGCTGAAATGTAACTGTAAATTCCCCCAATGTTAAGTCTTCCTCAGACACCTTTTCTAATGGTTTTTGTGCACTATCTGGGGAAAGAGTATATTGGTCTCCTACATATGGGAAACTCGAGGTTTCTTTATCCTTTCCATTTTTTCCTACAGTGTTAAGTAAGACAGGGGGCAATTTTGTAGAGCCAACAAGTTCTGTTGAGGCTAAAAGCTTTGAAGTTGAATTATCTTCATCCAATGACCATTTTGATACAGTGACCACTTCCAAATTGAAAGTACTCTGGGTCAAATGAGCTGTTGTCACATCTTTGTAATACTTTGTAATATCTGTTTCAGATCTAGTAAGAGTTGTCATTTCTTCTATATCACTTGCTTCTGTTGGCTTCACACTTGACTTCTCAGTTTTCAATGCTGGGGAAACAGAGTCTTCTACTGTAGACTCTGTAAAACGAATTTGTCCCGAGGAAGATGGCGAGAGCTTCATTTCAGAGAAGGCTTCCTCTGTTATACCTATAACTGGATCTTGGGTGGTCTTTTCTTGTTTCTCATCAGCTGTGTGAATATCTTTTTTCAACTCTGGTCTTGGTGTTTCTGTTCTTTTACCTCCTTGTGATACTTCTGTTTGTAATGAGGGATAAATAACTGTGGATATTCCCTCCACTGATATCATGTCACCAGAATAGGGAGACAATTCTACTTCTGTAAGATGCTGTGATGGAAAGAGAGTTGTAGGCTGTGATTGAACAAAAGGTTCTTCAGTCATTTTACCATTAGTTTTTTGTTCTTTCTCTTTATCTATGAGTGATTCGTCAACATCAAGCATAGTTATAGGAAAAACAATTGTTGATGTTGAAATGGACTCTAAGTCCCCTGGCTGGGAGAAGGTAGTGTCTTCTGATGTCTTTGATACTGTGATGACTTCAGGTATTTGGCTAAAGACCTGGGTGCTCTGATCAGATCTAACTGTCAGTGTTCTGTCTTCACTCTTCTCTTCTCTCATGGTGAACCCATAGGGACTTGTGGTTGCCAATTCAGGACTGGTGCTTACAGTCGGCTTTTCAGGTTTTTGTTCCAGGATCACTTTTGTGGGTTCCAGTGTTGTTCCAGTTTCTGCCAATTCCTTGGAAGAAATGTGCTTTGTGATTTCTGTGGATGTTACTAAGGGGGCCACTTCTATTTCTTCAATCTGTGTAACAGATTCATGTGTCTGCACATCCTCTGTGATTCCATCCTTTGAGTCAGTACCATGTTGGGAGATGACAGTTGTACTTTGGAGTCCTTCCTCCTTAATTTCAGATATATCTGGCTTTTCCAGTGGTGCAGACACAGAAGGTAGGTAGTCATTCAAATGCAAGTGGTTCTTGGTACTCCCAGCAGGTGTGGGTGGTTCATTGTCTAATTTGTCTGTGATAGCCTGAAACTGGACTACAGATTTCTGTTCAAAATTGGCAATATTTCCTGCAGGAGGGAAGTGTGTGGTAATGATAGGTAATTCGGTGACTAAAGGAATGATTGGTGTAGCTCTGTCAGGTACCATGTATGGTTCTTTGGATAAACTGAGTGATGCAGTTTCTGCGAGGATATTCATTTCGATGGTGGTTGCCTCTGATATATTCTGTTTAGCTAGAAAAATAATTTCAAAGAGTTAATTAGACAAGTCACTAATAAGGGGTTGCATGACCACTGCTTAAGTGTTGCTCTGTATTTTCAAGTGGACCAAGTGATATGTGATACAAAGGAGTCTAAATCCTAAACAAAGGAAGATAATGGATCACTAATCACAAACTGTTAGTTGTTTTGTGTTGGGTTATTATACTTGATTGTATAAATAATTGTTCTCACAAAAAAAAGAACACTATGTGTTTTAAGATGAGTCAATGCCAAAAAGTTGCTAAAATGGAATTTTCATAAATGGTTATCTGTAATGAACTACGGTAGTGACATAAAACTAAGGAAAACTTGGTTTTGTTATCTGGAGATGGATGTCCCCGATGCTAGCTTCCACCAAATATTGCCTTCTTTTCAAGATGCATAGTGTCTCAGGGGAGAGAGAGTGTTTCAGACTGCAAAACAACAAAAAGCCACATCAAATGGAACCAAGTTACACATAAACCATGACATTGTCCATAATATGTAGACTTTCATAAAAACAGGATATTAAACTTTTAATACCCGTTCTTCATTTGGTCCCAGGTGTCAAACATTTGTCTTCATCTTCCTTTAAACTCTGGAGGCGTGTTGCCAGCAGATCATACAACATGTCTGGCAGAGACTGGTTGGCATTTACTGTAGTTCTACTGAATGATCTACACCCTGCGTTTCTACGTATGATAGGTCTTGATTTTAGTCTTACTTTAACATGAAACACAAATACATAGGAAATAAAGCAGCTATGTGACAGTTTTAGCCTGTTACTACAAATTCCTGGGGCATCCTTGATCATCACAGAGTGAGCAATGCTACATAAAATAGCCTTGTCATTATAAAATGCTATGTTATAATGACTCCAGAGTGGTTGACTTAAGGAAATTTAAGCTGTATATAAAAGTGACAATGTTGTAAGTAAAAGTTCTTCTCAACACAAAGGAAATGCAGTGGTTTGGCATACAAAGACTGTATTTAAAAAAAAAAAATAGTACTACCTAAAATCAAAAATTAGTTGCCAGTGAATGAACAAGGAACAGTTTGAGCAATCCATGTCCACCACCCTGTTACATTGCATATGATGCAAAATAGCTGTATGAGCAATGCTGGCCTTCTCTGTTAGAAACTGTTCCATCAGTAGACTGTTCCATCTAAAAGCTTTGTATCTTCTCCAAATACAATCACTGAAAAACAAAATTGGGTGCCTTTGGCTTCATCTATTCTGTCAGAACTTCTGATAAGATGGTATGATTTTGTTCTAAATCTGACCAGGGCTATAATAAATTCTAATTGGGGAAGGGTCTGGAATTTGTTATTAGCTGTTGATATTCTTCAAACCATTCAAAAAGTCCCAAGACATCAGTGTTCTAAGGAAAACACGGTGTTCATTTTCACTATAATACAAGTTCTTTAAAAATCCATCACTGCTTATCCTTCTACATTTAAAAAGAAATTAACCCAAAAGAATACTGGGACCTTGCAAAGTATATTATATGAACATTTTTCTCCTCTTGTTTAAAAAAAATAATAAGCTGTTTCTGCATTTATTTCCTGGCACAAACATTGGTCAATTTTGATTGACATGAACAACTTAAAGACCTAAAATGTGTCCAACTGTTTTTCTTTTAATTCAATTCTCTATCCTCTAAAATTCCATCACCATTGCCTCACTTAACTGCCAGATTCCATGTTTATCTTATAACTTCATTCTTTAGGGAAATAGTAAAAAATACATATGGAAAATGTTCCCATGGAAACATAATACAAACTCTTATACACCTTCATATTAGAGAAAATTTAATCCTATTATTAATAATAATATCAGAATGGTAATTTTACTTTTTCCCTCAGAGCGCTTGTCATGGCCAAGGAAATTAACTTAGAAGGTGACATCGTGTTGGAGCTTAGTGAAAGCCTGGGGATTAGGTCCTCCTGTTCAACCTACCAACTCTCTACATAATCCTATAGAAATATTTTTTATAGTGTTTTAAAAATGGACTCTGATTTTTAGCATTAAATAAGCACATGGCATTGTCAATTATGACTGGTTTTATGCTTTTCTTCTCTAGTCTTGTTGCACAGTAAGGTGATAGCACTGAGTCTTGGGTGCCTGTCTTATAAGGCCAGGATTTATGTCTTGGTTTTCAGGGGAAAAGGGAGGGGTTTCATAATTTTAGAGCCCTGTTTAAGAAAGTCTGCTTACAATTAAGTTAATTAATTCTATGACTTGGAATGGCAAACCTCAGACTTCCTTTTGGGGTTGGGTGGCTTTTCTCATCAGTTTAACAGCTGACTGCCATCAGAAGAACTCAGTGTATCTGATAATGTGTGCCATTTGCTCTAGCCATTCCAAAAAAAAAAAAAAAAAAAAAAAAAAAAGGAAAAGGAAAGGATCTTTAAAACACCGTTTACAAAGAAATGTTCTCAGAATAAAAACCACTGTATTACTTTACTGACAATTATTATAAAGAGGAGAATACAATTCTAGATTACCATAAAAGTACTGCTCCCATACTTTCATTCACATTGGACACTTGCATTTCAGAAAACTACTATTGGTTTTCAATGCCATTATTGAGGAAGCCAACAAAAGCCAGCATGCTTTTTTCCCACAAATACTCCCTTCCAATCTTTGCAGCTGTTTGCCAAACAGATGTTTTACGTCAACATTGCTTATGGTGTTTTACATGCTATGGACTATCTATGCTATGCTGAAACATGAGACAGATTTTCCTAACAAAAATAACCCGTGTCATCAGCATAACGGCCACTTTAACTCCTATATTATCTACATTTTGGAGAAACGACTGACTTTGAATCAACTTTTATATTATATGTGAAACATATATGATTGTAAACAGGGGACAAAATGACAAAAGTAGTGGGTGTCCCACAGTATGACTTGAGGGTCCTGTCTCAAAGTGTTTACATGGACACAGTAGGATTTGAATTTTAACTGTCATTTTAAAGTTCTATATGTGATTGGATGGTAATTAATTCACATCCCGTAAACAGGAGACATTTGTAACACAAAGTAAGGAATTATTATCACATTTGGTACCTAATGGCACATAATTGTTTAGGACACATAAGGTCAATAAAGTGATTAATTATAAACCTGAGCCAAATATATATGACAGTATATGAAGTGTTGGGAACCAATTGAGCCTGCTCTAGAATCTAGTTCCAAACCTAATGAAAGGAGGAAGGATGGAGAAACAAGGAAATTCAAAACCAAACCAAATGGTAACTGAAAGTTTAGACATTAAAACTGTCATCAGTGGAATTGTTGCAGTTCGAGGAGAAGCAGAGAGACTATGTTCAATAGAAACGATGCTATTTGAATTTGATCAACAACTTTAAAAAAAATAGTTCAAATGATAATGTTAAAACTTTGATTTAAAACAAACTAAGAGTACGGGCTAATGAATATTAGAATGTTTTTTGTTTTTTTTTTTTTTTTTTTTTTTTTTTTAGGAAACATGTCCTTTCCCCTCTCCTGGAGATACTTAGTAACACATATTATGAAATTTTCAAAAGTCTTCAATAATTTTGATTGATTTCAATTTGAAGATATTTCACATGAACTTCCAAATGCCTGAGCTGAATTCTTTCACTAAAAGTTTTTAATCCTGAAGTCAGAGAAAATTAGGAAGTAGTTTTCATCAGAAAAATAATCAGGTTGGTTATTTTTAAAGGGCATTTAGTTGCCTGCTTTTAAATACATTTCACCAGATAATTCCTATCTGTGCCCATTATCTGACACTGTATGTGTACTATTAACTGGCTCTGTAAGAAGAAATCGTTAGAACAAAATAAAATTCAGGATGTTTATTTGCTATGTGGCCTAAAAGCTCACTTTCTGTGTTTGATAAAACCAACAATTTACAACATGCATGCATCTCTTGTTCAACTTATCATGATGACTGAACACCACAGACACCACTTGGGGGACTGCAGCTGAGGACATGGTGAGTCATCACTAGACTACATGGGAAAACAGAAAATCAGTCAAGTCACCTGGAAATAATTTTAAATCTTTATGTCCACACATACTAAAAGATGCATTGCAAAGTGCACTGAAAGCTGTTGGCTCTGTGACACTCTTCTGTGCTGAATGACCTAGGAATGATGGTCTCAAGGACAGAAGAATTAAACGAGAACCTGGACTTCAGGGTACATAAGGGAAAATATGTGTGCAGATACCAAAATTCTATACACTCAAATGAATAGAAAATAAGTATCAACTTCTTTTGTATTCAATGTAAATTAAATTTAATGTTGTCAATCTATTTAAGTCTAAAGACCTTACTTTTTATACACCAATGTAGATTCATTTAGATAAAGAATGCAAAATCTGCCTGGAACAATTCTTTAATAATATTTTCTATGGCCACAGACAAGCTTGGGTTTCCATTTTACCCTCAAGGAGAAAATGTGTTATTTTTTTTCCTGGTGTTAATTGTATACAGTGGAGGAAAATATTAGTGACATGAGATAGTCAGGGCAGCCTCTCTATCACTCCTTGTAACTTTCCCATTCCCATCCCCTTCTAACCATCAGCCAAGCCTGTTCTTTTGCCATGTTGGTAACCTAATGTGAAAGTAGTTTTATAACCTGATTTACAAGAATATCACTAAGGACAGAATTTGGCATAAACAAATAAGCATGCCATGTATGTATACATGCATATATATTTAGGATAAGATGTTTTCATAATTATTATTTTTTCTAAAAAAAAATTGCTGATGGAGGACTTTGTTGTTTCAAGGCCCAAGGAGAAAGCTAGCCTGTGCTAGGCCTTTTATGTATCAGCAGCTTGAATTAAGCTAATACACAGCATACGGCTATAACACTCAGAAAAGCAAGTCTAAAGCAGAGATTTAGGCAGAGGCAACCTAGCAGGGAGACAGAAGTCTGTGAAATAAAACCCTCCCATATTTCTATCAGCTCACAGATCCAGTATCTTTTCCAACCAACTGCTCAGGTTCATAGCTCTGTCTTTCTCACTAAAAAAATGCCTGCATATTAATTAATTAATTAATTAATTAATAAAAAACAGTATATTTTCTAGTTATTTTGGTTACCTATTGCTCTAAAAAGAATTAGAAAGCTAGTTCACAACTTTCCTGTGTTTTATTGATATTTAATTATATATTAGTCAATGTCAGACTTACACCAGGTCACTAAAATACAAGTGTTTTTCATTTAGTTAACATAATACAGACCCTGCAGTAAGTACTACCATAAAACTTTTGACTAGTTATAGTTTAGTTAAGCACTCTATAATTATACTCCTATGTAATGTGACTAATGTTTAAAAATAATTTAAGTATGCCTTAAAAATTAAAATATGTATAGCACAAGTACTACTTAAAATTAATTTTATAAGGTGAGTCTAACTGAATATAGCTAATTTATGCTACATGTTGCAAAGAGGCTACATTGTACTTTAATTAAAACAAAGCAAAATTACCCAAAAGGCACATATTCTATTACTTATAACAGAATGAGATATGTGAATTATATTGATTACTTGATAGTATGGTTCATTTTTAGGTAGAAAATGAACATAATCATAACCAATTTCATCACCAATACTCACCTGCAGTGACTTAAATTTAAACTTCTGCTTTTTAAAATGAGAATGATACCAAAGACAACATAAACAGAACTCAAATGTTTTGCTCAAATGCTGTTGGCTTAACACTGTCATACCAAAAATGAAACTGCATTTAAAGGCCTTGATTAATAGGAAATGGCGACTCAGGATGTGGTCTGACATTCTTGGTATAACAGTGTGCAGCTAAGACTCTAATCTGACATTCCCATCTCCTCAAAACAAACAAACAAACATTCCCCAGACTCCCTACCTTGTTTTAACCACTATGCTGGTACTAAGTCTGTTGCACCTAAGTCACTGAACAATTTCTGTCCCATGCACACTGTACAGGATACAGAGTCCATCTCAACATCTACTGGAATCTCAGTGAGTCTCTTTGCTTTTTCAATCCCTATATTATTTAGAAAGATATCAAACACTTACGTTTAAAGCAGTAGGCATCAAATCTGCTATCAGGACTAGGGAAGCATGTCTGGTTCTCAAAACGATACAGGGTTCTCACCCCAAGTAGACCACCTCCACACTGGGCCCTGGCCACAGTCACGGGGTGCCGCACACTGGCATCTGACAGCCACCCGTAATCGCATTGGTCAAAGCCGTTCCGCCAAGCTGCATGAAGTTCCCCAACTGTCGCCAGTCTGGCATCCTGGTTTTCACACTCTTCTTCTGCCTCCTCAAAGGTGAACTTATTGGGAGCAGTGATGTGAAACACATCGCCTGGAAAAAGAGGAGGAAGAGAAAAGCGTTAGGTTTGCTTATTCGTTCTCTTCCTGTTTTGATAAATGTGGGAAGGATATGTGATACTCCGTATGTAAGGAGGCAGCTTCTCATGCGAGAAAGCAAATAGCAAAATGATTACTTCGATAAAACTACTACTACTATGTAATAGAAATAATACATCACACAAGTTTCATTCTACATAGGTTTTGATGTGTGTATGCATGTGGATGAGCATATATGTGCACACGCGCATGCGCGCGCGCACGCGCGCACGCACACACACACACACACACACACACACACACACAGACACACAGACACACACAAACACAAACAAGCACACACACACACTTATTTTTTTTCCTATTTGTTCTGCCCAGAGAAGACACATGCTTTAATTTTCACAAGATCACCAGAAATGTCAGCAGTGGTTCTAGGCAAATGGATAGACTATCATACCTGCTGATCGATTAACAAGCAAATCCTAAACATTTTCTGTGGTCATCACTAGATCCAATTAGCAGAGATGACTGCTCACTTTTGTGAACATATTACAATAAAATTCTGGAAAAAGCAGTTGGTTAAACCAGTATTTTATTTGCGCAACTAGTATAAACAATTTGCCAAAATAAATTTAACTCAAATTAAATGATATGTTTCAGATATGAGCACAAATGGCTAAATGTCAGGTGAAGCGTGGAAGAACACACAAATAAATATAACTTGAACAGGAAGGAGAATAAATGAGATGGAGAGGAAGCTAAAATTTTGACGGGCCAGTATTCCAGAAGCCAGAGTCCTCTTTCTACAGCTGAGAGGTGATCTGTAATCTGTGATATTATGAGGCAGTAAGAATAGAGTTCTTAGAAAGTCAATCTATGATCTACCATAGACTCAAGCCAGATGGAACAGGCCAACTGTTTAAGATGAACGGTGCCATTAGTGTAAGTATGTGATAATTTTATGAGAAAATTAGTCATCAGAAAAAGTGGCCAAATATACATATCAGCTTTTCTTACTAAATTCAAAATCCGTATGGGGGAAAAATAAACCAAATCCCCACTAAGAGATGCTAGATAAAGAGAAATAAAATTATTTTCATCATGGGGTTCACCTAGACTGGCAAACAACAGCAACCAACAGCCAAAAATACACAAGAAGAACAACTTCCCCCTCCCTACTCTGCAATATCCAACCTTACCTCCACTCTACCAGTTACACAGTATGCATTCAGTAACATGTGTTCAATAAATGGCATTTCTAGTTCTTGTTAGAAGTCAAGTTTTTTCCCATACTCGTCAAGCAACAAATTAAATAAAATTAACTCTGGTGCTACATGGAACTGAATTTCATCTATAGACTTTGCCAAAAGCAACTTGGAAGATGTCAGCCTGCGCAGCCTCCCTTTCCTCAGCACCACACCTGGCTTGGGCCTCAAATGGATGCACATTTAGGGAGGGATCATGCCCATGCCTGTCCGTTAAAGGTAGAACACATTGGTTTGTTATCACATCTGACCTCACTCTGAGCATCTTAGTGTCCTGTATTGTTAGACACTCTGCTCTGAAGCCAAACTGTACTTCCCTGAGACTATCAAGAGTGTGACCTGCCAGCCAGTTTGAGCCAAAGAATCCCATTCATTAAGGATAATTCCACTTCTAGAGATAAAATCAGAGAAATGGCTAATAAGGAATAATGGCCCCAGGAAAACTGGATCATAAAGGGCAAATATGGCTGGGTATTAAAATGAATAAATGTTTAGTTGTTGCCAAAAAAAAATGGTTATAAAGGGAAGTGTCATTTTTATTCACCAATGAGGAGCTACTTACTAAACTTTTCATGTAAGAATTATCAAATCTAACCTCACATCAATGATTTCACTCATTTGCAGGATAAAACTTCCCTCCATATCTGTGATATCCACAGAAGAGTAATTATAACTAATTGAACTTGTGTGATCCCATGGCTGACTAATTTCCACTCCATTATCTGTAAGTTTTCCAACCTCACAAAGGTGTCCTTTCACTTACTTTGTGTTTTATATTTATTTACAGGTATGTGTCTTTCTCTCGGAATGTTCATGTACATGTCAATTCCCTCAGACCCCAGAAGATGTCAGAGTCCCTGAGGGCTGGAGCTACACGTTGTTCTGACAAGACAATGTGAGTTCTGGAAACCGAATCTGGTCCTTTTTAAGAATAGCAAGTGCTAGTAAACACTAAGCCAACTCTCCAGCCCCCGATACTGTGAATACTTAAAAAACACACACACACATTGAAAAAAATCAACATGAATTGCATGAGACTTGGATGAAAATGGAATATTAAACAATATTGTCTGAGTTTATTTTAAGGCAAGGATAGAAAAAAATCATTAATAGTGATAAAAATGAAGTCACTCATCTTCTGTGGCATAATAGTTATTTTGGAATAATAAGAAGGAAAGAAAACATATTAACTTTAACTTTGCTCCAAAATTAATGGCTTACGCAAAAACATTATCTTTGCTCATCTTGAAGCCCTAATGATATAACAAAGCCTACATCACACAACTATAATATTGTCCTTTAGTATTTTGCAATTGCAATTAATTCTCAATGCATAGCAAACATCACTGCCTACACATGTAAAGCTGCAGTTTCTCTGTGTAACAGTCTCTAAATATTGAGACAGGACATCTGTTTATGGGTTCATCTCTTGAAATATTGTGGAAATTTGTGCCCTAAATACATGTACTTCAATGAAGTAGAGAATTCACAAGTGATATAGTAAACATATCTTAAAATTCTGGTAGATACTAGGAAACCTGTTCATAGAAACTGAACAAGTGAATCAAGTTAGCATACAGAACCAAAGCAGAAAAGAAAAAAAAACCCAAGCTTGTACCCAGCTGCCTCCCATGGTTGTATCAGGACAGCAAGTAAAGAAAGTAGACCATGGTAGGGTTCCCTGGTCATAGGTCTAAGTCAGCAATATGAATCAAATGGAGGAGGTTATCTCTTTAATACAATAGGGACATGTCTTTCAGGAAATAAGGAAAATGCATTCATGTTTGTACCCCAAACCCATCTTTGGAGTTCAGGAGACAGGTACAGAGCCTTCTGGGAGGAAACTTCAATTTTACTTAGCTATATTGCTTCTCATACACACATGTACTTGAATAATCAAAATAACCTTAGATTTAGCAGACAGGTGCCTCCTAGGAGGAGAATGACTTCTTATACTTTGACAAAAATCCACTATAAAGTTCTAGGAGTGACTTCATCAAAACAGATATGTGGATTTTTTAAGGTTTATACATACACATTTATATTAGTGTGTGCATAAAATATAATGAAGGACAGAGGATTTTACACACAAGATAATTTGGGTATTCTGATAGAAAATGCCTATGTATCCTACACCATATTATCAGACATTTTCAAGCTAATTGCTTCACTATTTAACCTACTTTTCTTTTGATTACCTCTCCAGGAATGGTCAAGAACGGTGGTCCTCAGTTTGTGGTTAGTAACCCCTTGGGGGGTCAAATGTCCCTTTCACAGAGGTTTCATATCAGATATGTTGCATAGCAAATATGTATATTATAATTCATAACAGTAGCAAATTACAGTTATGAAGAAGCAATGAAAATTACCATAACAAGAGGAACTGTATTAAAAGGTCACAGAATTAGGAAGGTTGAGAACCACTGGTCTAGAAAGAACAAGAAGGCATTTTATTTAGATCTTAATATTCTATTAACATTGCACAAACTAGAACTTTCTTAATCATGGGACTTAACATCATCAAAAATATTAAGGAAAACTATTCTTTGGATTAGTAACTATGGCAAGACTCCCTGAAAGCAGAACAGGCCTGTGCTTTTTCCATGCCTCGGAGTGCCTGGTGGAAAGGACGCTTTTTGGCAGACTAACAGGTGACACATACTGAAACAGCAAGCAATGAGGAAACAAATTACAGCATGAAAAATGATCCCTGGTGTTCCAATGTTAACACCTCTTCCCAGGAGACACAACACAACTGTTAAAAGTCCAGAGCAATCCTAGGATACTAAGTAAAGTTGGTGACTTCTCTCAGTGCTCAGGGCTGAGGCCTCACCATGGCATCTGAACCAGGGAATTTGCTAGGTGGCATCAAAAATCCTAAGTTTCTTTGTTTCACATGTGTTCATTGGTCCTGTTTTACTATGTGTTATGACTATCAGTTCAGTAAACTAGCAAAATCCATGCTCTTGGTTTTACTTTCACCATGAAATGTGTGTGTGTGCATGTGCATGTGTGTGTGTGTGTGTGTGTGTGTGTGTGTGTGTGTGCATGTGTGTGCATGTGCGCGTGTGTATGTGTGTGTCTATAGATGATGTATAACTTTGTTATTTGGGTAAAACATGTGAGCACCTTATCATTGGCTGAAATGGGTAAATTGGAAGTAAGCAGAGAAGATGAAATTCTGAGCACCCATGAGTCAAAACCATTTGCCAAATAAATCAGAGCACATGGTGTTAACAGCAATTCAGCATAATTATTGCTTTGAAGTATTGACTTAAACTTTTTCAAAGGATTTCACTCTTTGTCATATTTTGACTAAAATACATGTATACTCCTACATATAAGACTGTTAAAAATGAATAAATGGATGTTCATTATCCTCTGAGTAACAATTATCTATATGTATTTGGAGTAGCATCTCATCAACACTGTTAAGAGACTCCTTAAAGAGACACTACTTATATATACTGCAAACCTGTGTCAGCTCCACTAAGATGGGATCTTTTGACCTGCACAAAAAAACAGTCTTCTGCAAACAGTGACAAGAATGCTAAGGGTTGGCAGAATAACTTCACTCACACTCAGAGCCGAGGGTCAGCATTAGGCTACAGTGTTTCTCATTTGGGAGTAAAGACACTAGAAAGATACACATGTGCTTTCCAAAATCTCACTTGTTCTAGGCTGAGGTTGAGGCAAATATATTAATTAACACTAATAGACGGGTACAGTT